CGCCCACCTGTCCTAGTGAAACTGAAAAGGCCTCCGGGCAAACAGTATTCCTTCAACCCTAAAAAAAAAACTTAATTCAAATACCTATGCAATATGATAAAAGGACATGCTGCGCCGATCGCATATTATGTGGGATAAGGGCAAGAATAAGAAGAAATCTTTCTTGACATTCACATAATAATTATACTCATATATTACTTCCTATAAGATTGGACTTAGGCCGAATGGTTGTTTATTTTCGACGATAAACTAACCGTGAACATTTAAGTTCTATATAATCCCGAACTTAGCTTCAGGATGAAGATAAGGTAACGACCCTGTCGATCGATATTTTTTTAAGGAAGATACAAATCTCTAGGGAGCACTTATTCGAAATTTCCTCGAACGCTAACATAAGCTAGACTCCGATTATGAAACAGCCTATAGACAGGGTGTTCTTCATTTGTTTAACAAACTAGCAGTAGGAGCATTTTAAATAACATTTTAAAAAGTAAGTCATCTTGTTCATCAAGTCATCAGGAGTTTTTTTGTCGTGACAACGTCTTATAATTCGATGGAGCCGGCTGCACGCACAAAAAAACATGACTCATGCGGCGTTACCTCGCTCTGAGGCGTTCCATTTAAGGCTTGAAGTGCAAGCGAGAGCGCGCAACGGGCGATAAAGAGGCACAATCGACCTCCGCGTTCGGCAGCGTTTGACAACTGTCTGTCTCCTACTTGAGTGAGCGATGCATCCGCATCTTCGATCAACATGTTGATCGAAGATCCGCATGGACACCTGCTATACATTAATACATTTACATGTTTTCGTCAAGTATGAAAATTGACATAATTGTATTTATGCGTACAAATAAATGTAACTTGATCAATTCAATAGTGATTTCCATTTACCTCCTTCTCTATATCCATACAAAATATCTATCAAACAAATAAAATTAAAATTTTATTTTGAAAAATGTAACCATTCCATCAGTATTTTCTTATGATGTTGTCACGTTCAACTATCGTCAGTAAACCGACTTTACAGACAACCGATTTTTTTTTTCTATTGGGTTAGGTCTATGGTTGAATAGCTTCTCTTAGTGTCAAATGATTACTTCTGTAGCTACCCACCTTGACTTAAGATGGCGGTTTTGTATAAGAGTGGTCTCACCTTTCGAACCGGAATACATACTATCTCATTCGCGGCAGAAATGATGAGAGGGATACTAACGTTCCGTGCGAGTTCATACGCCCTACCACTATATAATGTCGATTAGCGATCGCCCTACACCGCTATAATATTCAGGGGACGTCTGTGTCCATTCTCCGACTAATCTCTTAGTTTATTTGACACTTTTCCAAACAGAAGCCGCGCAACCAGCGGTGCCCTAAAAACCAAACCGACCAATAGAAACAGAATTATATACCAAATGGATATGCTATGACGTAATTATTAATTTCGGTTATTACCACAAAGTTACTTTGCGGGAACCCTCATAATCAAAATTATTAACATATTTAAATTAGATCTACAATTCTCGTGTTATGTTGGAAAATTATACTTTATTTAAGGGTTTAATAATTACGACATCAGTCGACTGCCTAATCATGGCTGCTCGCTTTGATCCCATTTTCATGTAAATATGTGGCAATAGTTTCCCATTACCCTAAGGCTTTTAAGCCTGCGGTACTTTGTACATATTCAGCTATTAATGATTTTGAGGGATCCTTCTTCCTCAATGGTAGTCCACTAATGAATTGCTGTATTTTATATCTATAATTATTTGTTGTATTTTTAGGACAAAATATTGGAATGATAATTAATTAACTAGATATAGAATTTCTCAATTAAGTTTTAAATATAATTATTACACAATATCCTACTATCCTACTAATATTATAAACGCGAAAGTTTGTAAGAATATATAAATCAAATTTTTGTGTTCAAACTATTGACTGGTTCACAATAAACTGGGCATTGCAGTCACTAGCTCTCTAACTAAATGCTTGTAGATATCTGGGAGTAAGTTTCACCATACTACCTTTTTGGGCCGAGAAGTACTTAAGCGTTGAGGAGGGCGGGGCGAGTGAGGCAAAGCTCTTCTCACTACGCAGAAACCCGCCGCCGCCGAGCAGGGGGTCGGTCGTATCCGTGACCTGGCCCCCTAAGAGCTAGGGGTCCCACCCGTTTTGTGCGGGGAGAGACCCAGACGTGGGGTGGCGTGCTTTGCACGCTCACCCGCAGTAGGAAGCCGGGTGATGGTAGACCTCGTTCCCCCGACCGCTCTGGGGGAAGGTGTAACGCGGCGCCATCAAGGCGGGCTCTCGGCCCGCTGAACGAGGGAACCGTTGGTCGTGTCGCTGGCGGCCGGCGGTCCGGCGTCCGTGGGACGGTGGGATGGATGTAATGTGCTCTGCGTCAACCCTGTCCCGCCGTCTCAATAGCCCCGACTGGGCTCCGGCCTGGTCCGAGGTAGGGCGCCGGTTGTGAGCGGCAGGAGTTTTTAGTGAGGTTCAACTCCCACATACCCCACCTGCCGCGCACATGGGGATCCGGCGATTTTCTCCTGTGGAAAAAAAAAAAAAAAGCGTTGAGTAGAGCCGTTGGACCATACAAATGAGGCTTCGACTTAATATCTCAAGGCGGTATTCATGTTGTGATGTCCATGAGCCCCGACAACCACTTAACACTATGTAGGCTGTGAACTAGTTCAGTCATCTACGCAAGAAAAAACATATTAAACGCAAAGACCTATATAGTAGGGACGCGACATATTGTTCTATCTTCTATATATTAATACGTGAAGCAAAAACTTTATATCCCTTTTTACGAAAATTGGCGCGGACGGAGGAGTATGAAATTTTCCACACTTATAGAGAATATAGATAAGAAGTGCACAATGCTAATATTTTTTTAAAATAATGCATAAAAGATACATTAAATCAATAAAGAAAACATTACACACACACTACATACCAGGTATTTGACGCACACACGCATGCATACTATTTATTGTCAAACTTTTGTTCTTGACGTCTGTTGTCAAATTGAGATTAAATATTGTTTGTCTCTGTTAATGTTTTTTATAGTGTAGTCTTGGCGAAATTTGTGATTACAGAAGTATAAAATACAATCATAATAGTGTACAAACTTACAATTCCAATTAATTATAGTCGAATTTCGACTTTTTTTTTTTTTATGATTAAAGGATTACTGGTGGCCCGGAGGCCTTTCCAGTTTCACCAGGACAGGTGGGAGAATTTCGACTACTGCGGAACCTCTAGTACGTACAATTGCGTATATAAATAGCACCCTTTTTGAAGGTACACACATAAACATATATCTATCTCGTTCTTACTCAGCACTGTAACTCGCAGGAAAACAATACAACAGTATTTCAGTGCGTACATAAAGTGAAACATGAATATACGTAAATACCTAATGAGGCCGAAAATCCGCCATGTTTAGCGCACCAACTGTCATTGTCAGTCAGTTCAGCCGTCTCTCTTGGGTTGTACATTATTTATCAATTTTGATATCGATTTAATATGATTGCTTATATAAAATTTAATATTTTATCATGATACCCCGCTTACATACCATTTTTCGGTCGGAATCTATTGATCATGACACTAATCATAGGTAAATACCTCTTAATAAAATGTGTTTAATAAAAGGTTTCATACTTCAGTTAATAAAAGACTTTCGTTTCATGAAGCTGTCACAAATATTATCTGTCTCCATTTTTTACCGTCAAACTCTTTGTATGTTTCAAACTTATAATGATTTTTAAAATTGACTCCGTTTTTATTGTTTGATACTTTGGAAGGAAAATTCAAATGAGGTTTTGTTGTGGAATTTAAATCTTCAGCCAGAAATTAAAAAGTTGATTATAACTTTAGAAGTAGATAATACAAGAAATCACATTACAACTTTGTTGGTTTTGTTTTGTTTCAAAGAATTTTGAATATTGTTGTATTTATTAACCTATTTGTTTACTTTGATTTCAGGGGAAATTAGTTGATTTTGGTGACTCTCTTGTGTACCTACAATTTAGATTGTTTCTTTAATAAAAGACTATTCTATACTATTTTTTATATGAATAGTGTGAATGCCGCTGCTTAAACAAGACAAACACTAAAAAAATGCTTAATTACTCGTGATAGGACTTATTTTAATTACGCACGGGTAGTTAGCAACATCGTACCTACTACTACCTACTACTACTCCTACCAATACTGCAGCGAAGTGTTCTGATTTCAAGATTGGGATAGGTGTTATAGTAGCAACCTAAGACTGCAAGACTTGAGTGGAAAAGGTTTTATGAATGTTGAAAATAAGAGAATATATGAATTGCTATGAAACATAAAACTTTATTGATCGAAAGGTTCAAAGGTCACTTTGCATTTGTACCGTTTGTTGAGACCTTAGAACTTATATCTCAAGGTGGGTGGCGCATTTACTTTGTAGATTTTTATGGCCTCCAGTAACCAGTAACACCAGGTGAACTGTAAGCTCGTCCACCCATCTAAGCAATAAAAAAAGATGTGTGGCGTCGTGGGACACCGGATAGGAACGAAGTTCCTTATTATAAAATATTAATAGTTGTAATCGAGGTATAAAGAAAATAATTATTCGGGTATACATTTTTTATTATGATTTTTTATTGTAAAAATAAAAATAATCGCAAGGGTCAACCACTCCGCAGTGCAATGGAGCAGCCTCGCCCTGGGGAACCGCCTGCATGATCACGGTATCCCCCACGCTATGTAAATATGATTTAGCAAGAGAAATATGAGAACGTCTATCAACTGTGTAACATCACGTCACTGCGTTTCATGAATTGTTGAATTTACGTGCAGCGACATCTGTTGATAACAAACTAAATAGAAAAAATCTTACGTTACGGACATTTTTTTCCGGTTAGGGTACCCCCTGCATCGTCCCATAAGGAACTACGTTCCAAAAAAAAAACCATTTGCTTAGTAATAATTAATATTCCTGTTTGTTCCAACAGCGGCTGTCGTGATCGCATTCTTCGTGTGCTGGGCCCCGTTCCACGTTCAGCGCGTGTTTTACGTCTACGGCTACAGTCTCCCGCATTACCACGTCATCAACGAGCACCTCTTCAACGTCGCCGGCGCCCTATACTACGTGTCTGCTACAGTCAACCCGATCTTGTACAATGTAATGAGTGGAAGGTAAGCCAAGAACAGTAGAGTAGTTTATTTCTCGTGTTGCAGATTAACAGTTAAGAGATACGGAGGCTGATTGGGGTATCGCCACAGATTTTGCGTTATGTGACCGTGTTGTATTGGTACGCTGCTTCGCATTTCAGATCAAAAGGCAAAGGTGGACAAAACAGACTGGATACTAGCATTCAGTAGTGAGTTCATAAATAAATAATCATGTTACGCGCTGGGTTCGGGATAAATAAAATTCCACCAAAGTACAATTAAGAACTGTATTCAACACTTAAAACACTTATAACACACAACAAACATTTTAAAACTCTCAATTCGCTTCTTCCGCTTCGCTTTAGGTGAGCCGTTCGCTGTTTCGCTTCGAGTAGTTCCGATTACTGACTGACTGGGTGCCATCTCTACAACGCTTTTATAGCCGATACCTCATCCCTAGAATTATCGAGAATATTCCACACATCTCTAGTAGTAGTTTCCGTTATCTCACAATAGATGGCGTTGTAATTCTCGAGCATTCTGGGTGCTACTAGATCCTTCTATATTCTTTCGACTATTCGGCGATAGATGGCGTTACTCTTACCGGCGTAACAATCATAATCCGGCCCTAAAACTAGAAGTCTATGTGCAATGGAAACCAAAGATTGATATTCAAATTTATATACGTTAAAATATATACACAAATATAATTTTATCATCGCGCCAATATTTGTCCGATATTGGAATCGATCCAACTTTTGACCTAACAGGGGTGCCAGCATTTTATGTCAGTGCATTTGCTTGAAATACATTTAGTATTTAAATGCATTCTGGTTTTACGATCCTGACGTATGCAGATACCACTGTGTATTGATTATATTATCGGCATTCACGTTGTGGAGTCTACGGACTAAAACCACATAACGCGAAGATGGCCGTCAATTCATCGCAAATCTATGGTTATAAAATAACAAAAATAAGGTCCGAATTAAGATACTCTGCTATAAAACTGCTACTATAAAATTAAACTTCATAAGTCAAACATAAATATTAGATATTCACTTTAGAAATCTGTATCAGAACTTCCGCCGGTCGCAGCGGTTGCTGGACTTAAATACAGAAACTTGAAATGAACCGATATTTAATTTAGCGTATACAAATAAATTATCCGTTTAAATCATAGCAGTCTCTAAATTGTGTCAAAAGCTCGGTATTTAATCGAATAGGCGCTTTATGGTTTTTGACTTTCTGAATTTATCAAGAATTTTAATGAATCGAAACTCAGCGTTAATAAGTGTTATTTGTGAACAATTAAGCCGACAAACTCTCTTAAAAGTTCAATTATTTATTATTTCATAAATTCGATAACAAAAAGCTATAATTTGTAAATCTAAGCAGCAATGATTTGCATGATAATATACCTAACATCACACCTTTAGAATGATAGAGACCTATTTCGAAATTTCTGGATTTCAACTTTAATTCAAAAATTGACTTAGAAAGACCTATTTCAGCGACTGTTAGTAATCAAATGACCAAAAGTAGCTAATAAAGGGACAAACTTATCTATCGGTCTCTTTCACTCCGTCCCCCTCCTCTACGTCTTTTCGGCTTGAAAAGCATATTCGATGTTTTCCAAAAAAACACATATTTTGAGTTGGGTCTCTATAATTCTAAATGTGCGACATATAATCTCGAGAATCTATCTATTCTGGGTTCACCCTGAGTGGTGAGCGAGCTATACGAGTATTATATTATTGCTGAAATAGCAATATTTCGATGAATCTACCACCAGATCCGATTTGCGAGCCACCGAAAAGATCCGGCATAAAACCCTGTGATATTTTATGGTTTACAGTTATTGAGAAATCTTTTATAGTGCTCGCTTAGATCCACGATGGTCGAATATATTCCATTGAAATCTATTGGAAAAATTATAACAAAATCTTTCATGTTACTAGTTAATAAATGATAACACGCGTGTTATTGGAAAAAAATGGAACTATTTATAAATTAGTAAAATAAATACAGTGCTTTTTAATTACAAGGATATTTTTCCGTTCCTTCTGTTTTGTATCATATAATCAACGTTTAGATGATCTTACTAGGAAAATTTTCACAACTCACACTTTTCTTAAAAATCCGAAGCAAGATAATTGAAATCATGGATGTTATAAACTTTATTTCTCGAATATCGTTAAATAGAGACCAATATTTGTAACTTGTAGGTTGGTAGGTTGCACGTGCATACCAACCAAGTATGTTACTAATATGTACCAATATTGAGTTCAACATTTTAAAAAATTAAGACAAAGAGTCAATAGGACTGTTAATGAAGCAATCTACATAAATTACATTAGCTGTTTGACTTTTGGAATGACATCTTTCCGAATCGCTGAGCTGTATTGAATAATTAGTGAATATTTTCGGTACGGTAGGGCGTATTCACAAGCGCGCGCGGTTAGTTATTATCGTCCTGACTAGTTCTGCTAGAAATTTGGCATACAAGACAATTGAGAAATCGACCTCAAGATGGCATTTACGTGGTGATTTTCCTGGACTTTGCTGATAACTTTACATTGTTTAGGCAGTAAATTTTTTTAGACATTGAGTGCAACAAAAGGTCTACCGCAGAACCCCCACTCAATCGTCTTAAGGGCTGTTAATACATGCAACGTAGATACCGCAGTTTAGAATACAAGTAAAATATACCGCACACGCCAGAACAATTCGGAAGCAATCTATTTTCTCACGGACCCAATAAATGTCAGAAGTTTACCTTTAATTACCCGTACGATTGTGATTTCGAAGTATAGCGCTTGTTCAGAAATGGAGATTCACGGTGAAAACTTTTAATTTAATACTGTTCCCTGCGATTAAGTTTTTTAGTATCTAATCTATGCATATAAATAAAATTAGAGTGTCTGTTTGTAGTATTGAAATAACCGCTTTTTACTACATGCATATGAATATATATACGGTACATACACCAAAATAATTTTTTTTACAACTTTGGTCTGTCTGTCTGTTTGTTCCGGCTAATCTCTGGAACGGGTGGACCGATTTTGATGAGACTTTCACTAATAGGTAGCTGATGATATGAGGAGTAACTTAGGCTTTTTTTAGACATGCTTCGCTCCGCGGTGTCACCCGCAGTTATTGTCGTACCGCGCGCAACATTATAACGTGACTGTGTCTGAGGGTGCCCCCGGGTATGATGATGTTACATGAGGCCCAGTCGCGTCACTCCCCAAAAGATGGTTTATGGGTCGAGAGACACGTCACCACCGGTAGACAACCGGTGAACAGGAGACTCGTTGCGGAGGATCTCAGGGCGCCACCACTTGCCGCTCTGGGAGATTTACACCAATAAAAAAAAAAAAATTAAAAATAACAATAATGTGTTTATCACACATAAATATAAAAGGATAAAATAAGTTACAATAATGTACAAAGTACTAGTGAGAGGTTAACTTACAAAGTTGAAGGTGTGTCGGTAGATACACCGAACATTCGAGAAAGTTACACAGAAAGAAAATTAATATAAATTAGTTAAAAGAAACAATAAGCTTCACCCTATCACTTCCCAACAACCGGGGTTGCTGTATACGAGCGAGACTGGGAATGCAGGTGTGTTCTATGTCTACCGCAGTCAAGCAGCCTTTCTTGGACCGACTTGCTAAAGCTCCCCGCTTCTGGAAGCGTCCATATAGAAAGGTGCTGAGGGATCCCGAAGGTGAACAGAAGGTCACGCTCCGCACCCTTTTTTTTTTTTTTTTTTAGAGTAGAGGGCCGAACCTCCTTCGAGGCCCCCGCGCAAAAGGGGCGCGCGGGGTATGTGAGACTCAACGGTCTGCATGGTAACTGTAGTATATTTTTTTGTACCAGTTACAAGGATCTACGTGTTAAGACATAATTATGTTTTAAATTTGATTTAATTAAAGTTTGTGGACACAGTGTGGAGAATAATTCAAAAACACTTACCCTGGTTTATCGCACGACATGGAGAGTTGAAATATAACTCAAAGAATATAATCACCTCGCAGCTCAAGATATGTTACACGAAAGAGACTTTGACAAAGTGAACTTGTCCTTTTATATGATTAATCTGTCGTCTCTCGAAGATTCTGCATGCCAGTGATGTGCAAACCTTGTCTTCGAACAATGGACAAGATCGCACAGTCACGACATGCAGTGTCGAGTGAGCGAACTTATTTGTTTATTAAAATAATTATTGATTTCTCCACCAGCGCCACGCTACACACGCTAGATGGCGTTAATTTAAAAAAAATGGAAATTAAATTTTCTGGCGTTACAACATGGCGGGCTTCGCCTATCAATAATAAAATTTAATGTTTCCGAAGCGAAGCGAGGGCGGGTCGCTAGTTTTAAATATTGGCATTGCTGTCATTCCATGTATAAATAGGGGATAGGTGAATTGGACAGCGGTAGTAAAAGTCGCCTGAAATTATAGTTCAGTTTTGTTCCTTTTTCATCTATCTGCATAATATAGATTCATATTGGGAATATTTACATTTGGGAAAGGCTCAATAGTCATTCAGTAATGTGTGAGGTTTTTAAGTTACTAACATAGATTATAAGTAGGTATCTGCTGGTAGATACCAATTTTTTTAATGAAATATGCACATACGTACTTGCTTTACTTTCGCATATTACTTCAATGATAAAGGGATAATATGGTGCAATAAAAATCAAAATCGAAAAATTATAATTTGCGTAATTACTGATGGTAGGACGGGTTGTGAGCCGGCATGGGTAGGCATAAACATTTTGCTATCAGCAAGCAGTAATGCTTTCCGCCTTAAAGGATGGGACAGCCTTAATGCTATACAATTAAGACCAACCTAATGTAACCAAGTGGGTAGAGGCGTTCACGTGGTGATGTCTGAGTTTTTTTTTTTGCTTATATTGGTGGGCGAGCTCACAGCCCATCTGGTGTTAAGTGGTTACTGGAGCCCATAGACATCTACAATGTAGATGCGCCACCCATCTTGAGATATAAGCCTC